GATTCCACTTTGGCTCGTTTTAGACAGAAGTATTGGATCGCGCAAGGAAGCAAGATCGCGCAGACAGTCAAAAGCAAGTGTCAGTTGTGCAAGCTTCGTGATGCAATATTGGAAGAACAAGAAATAGGACGGTTGCCAGAAGCACGACTCAAACCAGCACCCCCGTTCACCTACACCATGGTAGATTTATTCGGTCCATATGTTGTTCGCGGTGAAGTCCAGAAACGTACCAGTGGAAAAGCGTATGGGGTCATTTTCACCGACTTGGTGTCCCGAGCGGGTCATATTGAAGCAGTTTACGGTTATGACACAAGCTCGTTTCTCCTGGCGCTCAGCCGATTTGCAAGTATTCGCGGATGGCCTGAATTCATCTACAGTGATCCTGGTTCACAGTTAATCGGAGCAGAAAAAGAGCTTAAGGAAGCTTGGGAGAAGATCGATCGAAGCGAGTTACACAAGAGTGGTCTACAAAATGGTCTAACGTGGAAATTTGGATCAGCAGATAGTCCTTGGCATCAAGGAGCAGTGGAGTCTCTTGTGAAAGCAGCCAAGAGAGCGATTGTCTTTGCGGTTGGTAAACGTCGTCTTACGCTGCCCGAGTTCCTGACGGTGTGCCCTGAAGCTGCGAATCTACTCAACGAAAGGCCAATTGGAACATTGCCTTCCCTCGATTCTGATCTAAACGTGTTTACTCCGAATAGTCTCCTATTAGGACGCTCGACAGCCAAGAATCCTGGAGGATGGCAACCTTTCACGTACAGCCAGAGTCCGAAGACGAGATACAGGCTGGTGCAAACAGCCGTAGAAGATTTCTGGGAAAAGTGGATACAACTATACGCCCCCTCTCTAGTTGTCCGTCGCAAATGGCATGTCAACACAAGAAATTTACGTCCCGGTGACGTCGTTATGATCGCGGACAAGAATGTGATGCGGGGAGAATACCGTCTCGGAGTTGTTAAAGAAGTCTTTCCTGATCAGGATAGAAAAGTCCGTCGAGTTCTGGTAACGTACAAGAACTTTCGTGTTGGAAACCGTCAGCAAGATTATGGAATCAGTGAAGCTGTTACTGTTTCTCGAAGCGTTCAGCGTTTGGCACTACTCGTACCCGTGGAAACAGAAGACGGAGACAAGGAAGATGTTTGAAAAACGGAAACATAGAACTAGGATTATTACGGACACGTATATTTTACATTCTGTTGTTTTGTTAAAAGCGGTATCGTATCGACCCCATCCTCCCGGTGTGTTGGTATGATTTCAGACGTTATTAGAACTTTCGATACGATTACAGACTTACATAAAGTACTGACTGAGATAAGAGGCGAGCCCGCGGTAAATAGGACGACAACGTGTAAACAACGTTTTGGTTTTTGGTTTTAATACACCACAGTGTTTTACCGCTCAAAAGGCTCAATAATTCGACGATATTTGTAAAGAAATAAAAGTTTATACATTGTTTAAGTACATTATCGTTTTCTTTGAGTAATTATGTTTGCATGCGCGTTGAAATACGTGGGTATATAGCGTTACCAATAAAGTGGGCAATCACGCGATCTTGGTTAGCTGATCTTTATGCTTTCCAAGCCATATCATATATCCTATTTAAGTTGAAACATATTTGGAACACTTATCAAACATTTATTTTGTTAACGTAGAGTTTCCAGTGCTCCCTGTAACAATGCGTGACTGCCAACTCTCTTCAACTCTCATCCGCGTTTGACCGAGGCATTCAAAGACGTTATATAAATATCCAGATTTTTGTGGCGTCTCACTCGATTTGTCGAGTGGAAATTTATATACCTTTATTAGACCTAACCAGGAACAGAAAAATGCCACTTTAGGTCCCTGGCAGGAATCGAACCTGCGGCCCTGCGATTCCGGTGCAGTGCTCTAACCAACTGAGCTACAGAGTCCAGTTGTCGAGCTCTAACCACAAGTTCATGTATATATACTAGGGTACTGCCATGTATAAGTTATGGCTAAATATCAAGATTTTTGTGGCATCTCATTCGAATGAATAATACTTGATGGTATTGTAGATGGGAATTGTCGAGTGGTTCTGTGAAGAAACTGAAGTGGCTGGTTTCTGCGAAATTTATATTATGTCGTCATATTAAATATATTAGGTTTTCTTAAATTTGTATTGATCTATAGTTTGTAGCCTTTAATTAAAAGTGTGTTTTATAAAGAGAAAACCGTCGACCATTTTAAATTTCAGTGGTACATTTATATAATATTGTACAATAGCCTGGCAAGAATGATATGTTCATTGGCTAAATTTGGTCAATTTATTTAGGACTCTACATTTCTCAATCGTGTGGAAAGACTTTGTGACACTGTGGTGAGGTTGGAGTCATTTGCTGGTTCAGACAAAGAGACCAACCCAATATATAAAGATTATCACGGTAGGTTCACCACTTCTCTTTAAAGAAGAAAATTCACCACTTTTCTTTGTGAAGGAAATTCAAAATGACTACAAATACACAGGTGATTATTGAAACTTGTGGCCACTGATTGATCGAGCTACCTCCTAATGCGTAATGGCTGCCCTACAGACGAAAAATAACAAGTTGTAAAGCAAATTTAATTTTAAAAACGTACAAAAGATGCAACAAAGTAGTATCTGCGTTGCAGAATTGAAGTGAACTTTGTTTTGTTTGAAAATAATAAAGCAGGGGTGGAAAAAGTATCGGAGTTGAGAGTTTTGCAGAAAATTTTCCAGAAAATATTTCAACATTTTGAGATAACTCTGTTTGCTCAACTTACAAGCTATTTCTATTCTACTTTATTTACACTGTATACACGCTAACATCAGCAGCCTTTTAAATATTTGACATAAATTAATTATTTTACCCATCCCTGCCATCACAATGAGGTAAAATTGAAATATATGCTCTGCAAAGTATCCAATAAAATGGAAATTAAATAGTAAACAAAAAAAGTGATGGAATAAATGAGATGACAGGACACTTAGTTAAGCGTTAGATCCTTACTATAGTTGGTCATAACTCATAACTGTGGTATATAACAGACAACTATTGCGATGTACGAGCATACGAAAACCAGCCTATTGCCTATATTATTACTAAAGTGCAAATAATACAATAATTATGCATTTGTTTTGTTATTTTTGTAATTGTAACATTGCAAATTTTACAGAAAATTTCTAGCCTTCGACCCAGGTTCCCAGAAAGAAAAAAATTTTTCCACCCCTGTAATAAAGTGCGGAAAATGCCATTTAACAGTTAAATCAAAATTTTTTTAAAATTATTTTTTACTTTTTCCGAATTCTCACCTGTGTATTGTTGACAATTATTCGCTTCAGACTCGGTGAATATCGGCGAATATTACCCACATTTCGTCTCTTGATCTTTCTGTAGGCTTGTTTCATATTTTTCGTCTTCCAAGACTTAATTCTCTGACATGTTACATGCCAGAAACACTGGATCTAGCATTCAAACTTCGCCGAAGAAAATTTCTCATCGAGGTAATGTTTATTTATGGTGACTCTCTGCTTGTCTTGTTTCTTGGAGGTGACTTGATAGTTTGTATCTTTAGTTTGAAACCAGTGAGTTCTATATAATCTGGAGCGAGAACTTCAGTCATTCATTTATTTTACAAGAACTTCAAGTTTTCATTAATATGTACTCTCAGTCAATGTATTGACCCTCAGTCAATGTAGGTAACCTCCGTATAATACGTAGTTAAGGTAAATACAGTATGTACCAACATTAGAACACCGTTGCCCTGGCCTAGAAT